GAGTACTAGTCTTTCATGTTTACATCAATCTTCTCACATATAACTAGTGTAGGGTGTGTAGTCAGAAAATTTGAGTGAAAATTGAGTGCATAACGAGTGAGGAATTGAGGGAATTCTCTAAGGCATGTTACTACATTCAAAATATGTTTTAATTGATTAAATGCGAACTAGTGAATGGTGACTATGATTAAGTATGTGCTTGAGGGAAAGGAAGACTAAAAGCCATGTGAGTAATGAATTTTGACATGTCATGTTTCATTGGAAATCCCTGAGGCGAACGTTGGAAGGTTTAGTTTTTGGTTTTGGTTAGTTTGTTTCGTTTTGTTTTCTTTCTTTTGTTTGTTTTGCTCGAGGACTAGCAAAAGCTAAGTGTGGGGGAATTTGATAGGAGCATATTTATGCGCCTTAGTTAGCTAGTTCTTATGCATTTTTGTTATGTTTTCTTCGTTAAAGTAGTCTTTTAAGCTACGTTCATGTGTTTTCAGGTTTAAAGGACATATTACATGAAATGATGCAATTTGGAGCAAAACTGAACTGGAATGTGGTGTATGCAAATAGAGCACGAGGAATGAACGTCCAAAACAATGCATCACACAATCTTCCTCCTAAGCCTATGCCGCAGCCACCATTTACATTATATCCCATTTATGCCATTCATTCCATTTTTAATTAGCACCATATCATTTTCTTTATTCTATCATCATACACATTCATCATCCCATCAACATAATAGTCCCTAATTTATTCCTCCATATTCTAACCAAAACCGTGGCATCCATTCCTCTTCACTTCCCATTAATATATCCGCACTATCTCATTAATCCCACCACTTTCCATTATCAATTTCAGCATTCCATTAACCTTAATAAATTAATAAACCATTAAGCCACCATATCCCATTATCCACTATCCCATTTACACCCTAAACCGTGCACTCCCATTATCCTATTTCATTACCTAATTATCCCATTTAATTATTAAGCCACCATTCCACTAACCCTATTATTCAATCATCTTCCATTTTTCTTTGATCCGTAGCCTCCATTACCATCTACCATTCATAAATTATGCAAACCATTTCCCATTATTTTTCTAAGCCATATCCCATTATTCTAATTCCCACCCAAAACCGTCCATTGCCATTATTCCATTTTTAATTGTCCACTTCCCATTATCCCATTTATATACCCTAAACCTAACATTTATTTTTTTCAATCCGCACATTCCATCCACAATAGGCCGTGCACAATTCTCCCATTTTTTTGGATAACAACCGTAGCCTCCCTCAACCAAGGATCTTCCACATATTTTCATAAATTCCAGCCACCATACAACCTTTCCTCCATCATTCCACCACCTTGTGCACCACTAATCCTCCCTAAATCCATCCCCAACCCAAAATAACATCCAAATCATCCATTTAACCAATCTTCCGCAGAAGGAGAAGAGGAAAGAGGAGCTTCGACGCGCACCAATTCACGTGGATTCGTTGGGCGTTCTAGGTGTAATCAATCCTTTGTGCTTTATGTTTAAATTCATTTGTAATTCTCTTTTTGTGAACATGAGAGGCTAAATCCCCCTAGTTAGCTAGGGGGTGATTCGAAACCATGGTTATACTTGCAATATGAATTGATTACTTTTGGTTGGGATTTCATGAATGTTGGATTCAATTTGTTTAACCGTTTGATTGATAACTTATTTATGAATGTTTATTAAGAATGCGCACTTAATTTTCATGCATAAATATGACGCTAGAATATAAGTGAATTTCACCTAATCGTTATGAACTTATATTCACAAGTAGTGGAGGTTGCTTATAAACAATCGCGTTAAATGAATTCTTGGCACGAGTATCATGCTTTTCATAGTTACAAATGCCTTGTCGATGCTTATAATTTCCAAAGAACGTAATGATTCTAACTTGTATCTTTATCATGCTGTTCATATAGAGAACTTGTTAGGAATAATTTGTTTGCGATGCATATTCATCCAATTCAATGATTCTAGGGAAATTTGAAGGTTAATTTAAGCGGACCTAATTAACTTGGGGCGTTGAGAGTTTCATAATTTATCGAAAGACCAACTGAGAATCAATTTTGTATGCAAGTATAACATGTGTGGAGATGAACCCCTTGGCTATTCCATCATCCATATTTTCATCTTATTCATATTTACGTTTTGCCTTTAATTACAATTTTTCCATTTAATTTAATATTGTCCAAACACAATCCCCCCCTTTACTTTATTGTCAAATTAGTTAGAAATCAATTTAGTTTAGTGTTTTATATTGTTTTTACGTTTTTGAGTCAAAAATCCAAGTGATTAACAATCCCTCCTAATCCCCGGTCCAGAACGATCCCTACTTATACTTATACTACAATTGTCAAAAAGAGGGTTTAATTTGTGTGCGTATAATTCTCGCATCAATCAGAAGAAGCAACGGTGCCACCATCACCCTATTCTAGAGCAATAGGCAGAGTCCTAGCAATTCCACTGGAGGACCATGCTTGTCCTGCAAGATATGCAATCTAATCTAGATATGAATACAATCAGATCCTTTAAGTCTTAGGGTTCCTACGATCTAGGAATTAACATGCGTCGCAAGTAATCATAACTCCTAAGAGGGAACAATATCTACTTCTAGATATCCTCTAGGATTCAGAACTAGGATCCATCCTAAAAAGGTCTTTCTCCACACAGTATAAATACACTTGTCCAGAAATTTCTTCACGTGTTGGAAATTTGCCATGCTCTCAGAGCAGTTGTATTGTTGTCGGAATTACTGCTCAACCAGAATAGTTGATAATAGCTTGTTGCCTCGGCATGCGGTCCAAAAATAGTTAATAATAGCTTGAACATCTCGGCATGGAGTCCAGAAACACCCTTGTGGATCTTAATCGGCATGATGTCAAAGCTCCTATCTTTATGTTCACTATGATACATTTCTTTCATCCTTTGTCATACCGGAGCCCATTGGTAACTAACAACAATGCGGTGGTTAATTTTGCGAATCTTCAATTGACACAACCTAGTAAAGCCCATAATAATAAGGCCTTTGACTTGAATGTGCGCTGCCATCCTTCCAAGTTTATCTTGGAAACTTGTTACAAGAAGCTTTTTCTTTCCTTTCACCATTATGTGGGACACTGCGCATGACCTCATCTCTTCATTGAAATAGCGGCCTTCGCGACACCGCTATATCTCGTCTTATGCCACAGACGTTGTCGCATGAACAGCAAATTGAGGATGTGCAGTTTATTTTTCTTTCTTGCTGTTGATAGTGTGTAATAGCAAACGAAAGTGGATGACTCTTGGATGTTATGGGCCATTGATTTTTCCTACAATCAAAATAATGACCAGCAGAGATTAACACGACTTCTTTCGATCGACATAATTTTCTTTCATGGGAATATAAACGTATAGCGAATAAACTCTTATCTTTTTGGGGCTGATTGCGTTGCCCTCGATGTATTGTCATTTATCTATACTTTTGGCAGCATGAGGAAGACTTCTGGTGCTATAAAGGCCTTATGATCTTTCAATCAATCATGAAACATTGTTGCGTTCGCTTTTGTTATTGCTTACGGTAAACTGATCTAGTTAGGAGGTTTTCCTTGTTGGAATCAAATTCACGCACATTCGCAAACACAGGTAAAATCAAGTCGGACTAGCCCATGATCTCCAATGAGAGGAGAATGAAGTTGATTAGGGAGTGTAGTTGAATCCGAATAGGGCTGTCTACATATCTCTAGAAGGATGATCAAGCCACAAGTGTAGTTCTAAGAAAGAATGGCATGAACCATCCTTGACGAATAGCCTATGGCAAGGTGTTTAAGAGATGAGTTCTCCATGAACATGTGTTCATGTAGACAACGGAGTTCGGACTATGTTAGGCATAGAGAGAATATGTGTGTCGTCTTGAGTGAGTCTAAGAGAGAGTCGATGTAGATGTCCTTCTTCAATAAATACCATGGCTAGTGTATTTATAGGAATCTTGAGTGTACTTGTACGGAAAGTAATTTTCATCAAATCAGGAGACTATTTTGGAGGAAATCTAGGATAAGATACCTAACCCTCCTAGAATTTTGATTATGTTGCCTAATCTCCAAGATAACCTAATTTGACTTTAATTAGGGTAGACAAGTAACATCTTTAATAGACCAAAGTAGGGGTAGACGTCGGTTGGTTGGGTCAGTTTTGGGCCAAAACTGAAACCAAACAAACCTAGTCGGTTAGGTCAAAATTGTAAACCAAAATCGACCAAACTGGGTTATTAAAACCGATAAGATCGATTAACTGGCAGTGACGAGTTGGTTTGGATCGGTTTTCTATTTGGGTGAAGACAAAAATACATAACAAATTCATTTCCCAAAAGCTATAGAACGTAACACCAATATGAATGATTGCTCAAAGGAAAACACAAATGATGTAGCCTGAGGAGAGCACACCAAAGAGTAGCTGCTACCTTCTCCAAATGGTGCCTCTTGTTTTTCTCACACTCCGTGTCTGCTTCTATCTCCCAGAATGGGAGACCCGATTGCTCTCTTTTCCAAATGGAAGAGTTGAATGCTCTCCCCCGAAGGTGTGGCCCTCATCTCTCTCCTGTGCATTTTTTTGGTCAAATCTCTCCTTTGCATTTAATAATCACAAAAGGCATCAAAATGCCTTTCATAATTCATTCCTCTACGCTTTTTAGGCACATAAAGGTTACCTTTCCTTTTTGTTGTTTGCTGTTTGAATGAAAGGAAAAGTGACTCTTAAATTAATCATGTTTTGTTTTTATGTGGTGGATATACAGTAACTCGTAAATAATTAATTATTTATATTACTACATGTATTAATTAAGATTAAAAATTAAAATAAATATGTGGGTCGGTTTGGTTAACCGTATCCTAAGAATTTTGGGAACTGCTTGCCAAACTAATTAAGGTTTGTGCGGTTTAGTTTAAACACTAAAAATAAAAATAAAAAAATAAAAAAATAAAAAAAAACCAAACCAAACCAAGCCGCCGGTGCAATTTGGAGGTTCAGTCGGTTTCTTTTTTTGAATGCCCAACCCTAGACCAAAGCCAGCTTGCCGGACTACGCTCCATGGGGCTTGGGCATTCCGGTCCTTCTCGTCGTGCGTCATAGGCCAAGAAAATCATGGTCCCACAGATATAGTCTAAGCAATGAACATATGGTATGTATATATGGTGTGTGTTGTGACGCGCTTAGGCAATTTCTTTTTTTGGTGGAACTCTTAGACAGTTTAAAGGGTGAAAACTTAGAGGCTATAGAGATGATGCAAATTAGAGAGAACAAGTAAGGTTTTGAGATAAAACACACTTTCTTAGTATTAGTCCATTTCCACAACACTGTTAATTAACAAGGGGAAATAAGCATGTCTTCCTTTATTTACCAAACAAAAAAAGAAAAAAAAAAAAAAACAAGGGAACAAAAATACAATATTTTGCATATGAAAGAAAACAAACTATTGCCATTTCCATAGAGCTCGGATGGCTAGCTAACCGCCAGGACAGCAGGTCATAGGAGCTTTAATTTGTTGAAACTGAAGGCAGAGCAATCGTTGAAGAAAGAGAACTATCTTCAAATCCTAGTGCTCGGGTTGCTTGGGTTGTTTGGGTTGGTATGGGTGCTTGGGGTATTGGTTTGGTTGCTTGGGTCGTTAGGGCTATTCATTCCCAATGTGTTCTTGACTGCATCAGCTGCTCCTTGAGCCATGTTTCTAACTTGCTCACTTGTCTGCAATCAAATACATATAGTACATGCATTGTAACATGTGTATATAGTACAAGAGAAGGACCAATGCTATTCACTCATTCCATGAATATTTAAAACTAAAAATAAAAGTACTGAATTTGGAGTGCAGAAGACCAATAGCGGATCGAGTGTACGTAATAGCAGTTACCTAACAAGAAGGGTGGAAAGCACTAGCTTTTATCTTACTAGTTAACAAAAATGAGTGATGAATTGATACTAATCAAATTGACTTATGTTAAGTGAAGTTTAAGTAATTCTTTACTAGATATCTAATAAGAAATATATTATCTATGAAAAATTGAATAATGATGAAGGAGATGGCAGGAAGTGGTTGCATGCCTGTTGAAGGAGGTGGGTTGCTTGGTCCTTGATGTCTTGGCCAGTATGAGAAGCATCAGATGCCTTGTTCTGGGCGGACTGAGATGCATCAGATGCCTTGTTTTGGGCAGACTGGGATAATTTTGATGCCTGGTTTTGGGCAGACTGAGCTGCACCCGATGCCTGGTTTAGAAACTCATCCTTCTTAACCTGTACAAGGTGTGGATCGGAAATGAAACAGCTTATTAACTTGATAAGTGAAAGTTGATTACATTATAACCAAATCAAATTCAACATTATTAATTACAATAATTAACAGTTGCTGCAAACATGGGCATCGCTACATTTTGCTAGAGTGCATGTGCTTCCCCTTTGCACTCGAGTTCAAATCTCCTCGCTGCGCTGAAAATAGAATATAAGAAATAAAACAGCCATATATACCTGAGCTTGACCAGTCAACTCGCCAGCTTTGTGACTCAAATCCTGATTTTGGTGGCTTGCCATTTTTGTGCTTAGTTTTTTCTTCGATGAAAATGAATCAAATTTCAGATGAAGAATGTAGGATGCAAAAGCGGTTCCATTTGAAAACTATATATAGGTTTGTGGAAAGTCTCCTGTTCTTGGTACTTCCTTGTTCCTATCCCAATTTTTGCGTGTATTCTCTAGCATAGTTGTGGCATGTATTGATGTAGGAATGTTTCAAACAAGTTTGGCTTGTCTTAGTCAAGAAAGAGAGTCCCTTGGCATAGACTCCGGGTAAATTAAAGCTTTAAATACCTTAAGAAATCACTGGTTCTTTTGTCTTGCTGATCTATATCGGATCCGATAATAATTTTGGCTAGTACGGGTGTACAAGTGTTTTAGTCGTAGATTAAATTATTACAGCTATTAGATCTTTTATTTTCAATTTTAGTCATTCTTTTTCTGTACTACTCCCAGATTTAGTTTTTTTTTTATCCTTTTCAAATCACATTTAGTTGATTGAGCACTATCTAGTTTATTTTCTATATGATAGCTATCACATTGGGTACATTACTTTCTTGTGAGCCGTGACACCAAAATGATAATTCATAGCTTAATGATAAACTTAATTGAACTAACTTTTTGGCTGATATATACATGCTTAAACCATACAAATCACTAATTAGTTTCCTCTCTAACATTTTGGCTGATACTAGCTTAATTAACTATGCATCTTTCACATGCGTACGTAACATATGAAACATCACATAAGCAAGCATTCTCCTAAGTTAAATGAAAATACCATTTTTTTTAGAAAGAAAAACAAAAGAGAAGACCTTGAGAACCAAAACTACATAATGTAACCTAATACTGATGTGGGGGGAGCAAATGGAGCTCATTGGAGTCAAATGTTATGTGACGCTCCATTGATGATCGTGTTTTACGGATTTTTTATTTTATAAATGGGACAATACTTGTGTCCAATCTATGGGTGCATTTTCTACCAAAAAATATCTATGGGTGCATGCATCAGCACACATGTGATTAGCATATTTATACAGTATGTATAGACATTCTAATAGAAAAAGTTGATTTTTATTATCATCATCTAAAATTATCTTCATAAAAAATTAATTAAGTTAGACATTGTTAACTAGTAATCCATATATATCGAACAAACCGGCATTTTTCCATGAGGGTGTTACTTGTTAAGTACGAAAGTTGTTAATATGTTTGATACATATAGCTAATTAAACGATCTATAATTTGATTAATTTTTTTGTACAAATCTTGTAATTATTATAAAGAAAATTAGCATTGTTTATCATGAAGTTTGTATGATAAACATGTTAATAGTAAGTGGCTAAACAAGTAAATGCATCTAGGTATACCAAGTAATTACAAACGGGTCGGTCCGAGGCCCCCCTTTTCTATACATTTGGACCCGCCCTGCCCCTAAAACTTCAAGGCCCTGCCCCACCTTGCCCCGTTTCTCTTATGTAAAAATTGGAACCGACCCGTACCCGCCCCGAACCTTGATTACCTACCCCGACCCGCTATTCCTATACCCGTTTGCCCACCCCTAGGCGGAAGGGTTGCGTGATTTATTTATTTTTTATTTCTTAAATCAAGATTATTATTTTATTAGACTGTAATAGGGATAATTTAAGGTTGTTGATTAATCCACCCTTAGATTAATCTTCAAATGAAAGAGGAACTCACAGGTCCTCAAAATGAGTACACTTAGCTAAGCATTACTGGACATTTCAATGTTTAAAACATGCGGTATGAGATTATGATTCAACCTATAATTAATACAGTTTTGTGTAATTTAAAATTCACTAAAAGGTGGATAGAAACTAGAAGTAGAACGTGTAAAAAAACTGGTTAAGAGAAGAAAAAAATAAGGCTTAATTGGATTAATAGTCCTCGTGATGATAGGGTAGTTGGAAGATAACCATGTGGTAAAAAAATTAGGAGTTAAGGAGTGGGCAAACGGGTCCTGGACCCACGAGTAGGGGCAGGTTCATGTGGGTTGGGGCGGGCGGGACAGGGTCATGTAAATGGTGGCGCGGGGCCGTTCCAAGAATTTAAGAACACAGGCCCCTAGCCCAAACAGTTGATTCCTAACATTCGATTAAATCTTAGCCGTTTGATCTTCTACCAATCTCAAGACTCATTCTCGTTTGTGTATCACTCTCATTTCGATCAAGGTCACAACAACAACAGCAGTAGCATATTTCAGCTAATAACTACCAACTTGTACTGCTTCTTTTTTTTGGGTTTCTTCCCCAAAAGCCCTTTGGAATGACTCCTTGCCTTCATCAGGTTTGTGCTTTTCATCTTTTTGTCTTGCATGTGGGTTTTTAGTTTTAAATTTATCTTTCCCATTCCTTTTCAACAATTTTCTCACCTCTTTTTCCCGAGAAACAAACACCAAGGTACTAATCAATAAAATAACACTAGTGGGCATCTTGCTTTTCACAGTAAGCAACTGTTGACCCTAAAAATTACAAAGCCTACGTGGCGCGCAGGCCCAGTAACTAATAAGCTAACTACGTTCTTCGGTTGAATACGGGGCGTGCCAACTCGCCGGTCGAGGAGTAAAATTTGTTGGTGTTGCGTTGAGCGCGTTGCTAACTTCTTTATCTTGCAACTGTGGCCGAGGAAGGAACAAATCTCGGCCTTCAGATTCTCGAGCCTGAAGACAAGGTTGCTAGTTATGCGAAGTTCAATATCAAATTCGGCTCTCAGGGTGCCGAATGTAGTTACCTGGTAACACCTCACTTCGCCGAGAAAGCTAATGAGATGACCTCTGCCAACAAGGATTCGAAAATCCTTCTCGATCGAGACTTGGATAAATAACCAATCGACCTCGACACAGTGCTGTTTATCCAAACTGAAGGTGCTTCGGGAACGGCTGATTCTACGGCAACAGTGCTGTTTATCCAAACTGAAGATGTTCGCCGGTTGCCTTCACAGTGCTATTTATCCAAACTGAAGATGTGTCGGCGGAAAAAAGAAAATAAAAAAAATCTCATGTTTGAGAGGTTTTGCGCAGGGTAGTTGTGTGTTGAGTTGGAGGTCCATCTTCTGCTGCACGGCGTCTGTATTTATAGGAACATATTTTCTATTTGGCACAGTCTGGATAATAAGTAGAAACCAACTGAAACTCAAACTCGTAAAAATAACTAACCTGCGACCCAGGTGCCAAAGCCTATCTTCAGATGGTTGATTCTTCAAAGATAATAAAACCCACCTTGACTTATCCCATCGTAATTAAAAACCTAGCCTAGCTAGGCTTTCTTTTCTTGTCATAATTCTATCACTTATCCATACATCCTGATCCCATTTAATGAAATTCAAACCATTTAAAATTCATTTCTGACTACTTGTCAATCAACCTAACCTACTTAGGTTTTCTATTCACCATTATCCAAAACTTGCAGATCCATGCTATGCCACGTGAAGAGTCCAAGCCAAGATGTTCTAATTCACACAGCACACTACTACCAAATCCAAATTAACTCGGACTGTTCTGCTTGCTTCTACGTTGAGGTTGTGATTTGCATCCCACTTATTTTGTACAAGAAAATTGAGATAATTTATTAAAAGATAATTATTATGATTTAAAAACCATAATATTATCTCTTAACAATAGCAAATTATCTTATCTGACAGTTAAGAAACAAGCTCACTCAACGGCCTCGATTACTCGGGCCAATGGCGTAAAATCGGGTCCAAACATTGCCCCCCAGTTTCCTTGAACTTCGGTTCGTAAGCCGAATGGTTAAGGAAATTAAGTTTTACAGCATTCCATAATCCTACCAAATAGAATATTCAAAATGCTTAATATTTTTGCCGTATATGAAACGGTACCTCGGCCATCTCCATCCCACCAACTTGAGATGGTCATCGGCCGAACATGAGATCCTCACCTAGCTTAAAAACCCGTAATATAACCAAGACTTGGAACCCCAACCATGCATACATATCCTGACTTTGAAAATTCAAATGCTAACAAATGGCTTTATTAAAACCAAGGCTTGAAATGATGTTGGCTTAAATGATGTTATCGGCCATGCATATCTTTATCACACTCTTCCTACTTGATGACCAACTACCTTGACTTGATGATCAAAGCTATGGTCGAAGAAATATGTGGTCAAGGACAACATCATGTAATCTCAATGTAAGAATAATTTTGGGGACTTCAGCCCCATATGGTCCTGGCGGCAACATCATGCAATCTCGGCGTGCGTAATCCTCGACCATGTTTTTCTTCTGTCCACTGCTTTCTAACTCAAAACACATGATGACAATGGGCATTTCAAGATTTCCCACCTACCAATACATGCTGCCAAGCTGATCTTTCAAATTAACTCATTTGACTACTGCTTCCTTAAGCTTATTAGTGTAAAAATCTAAGGCCAAGAAAATTATCGTCGAGCTCGACCAACAACCCTCGGTCACCGTGATCAAGTCCCTGATATCTATCGATGTATTGTTATTCCCATAACACGTATGCTCTACCAACGTTGTGGTCTTCCTCGGCTGCCACAATTATACAAGGCTCGGCAATTTTAGCAAATGGGGCCAAGAAGAACCTGATTCTTGGTACAGTTGGTGGATGGGGCCGAAACAAACTAGACGACCGAGAAAATGGGGCCGAGAACTACTGAGAAAACACCGCCGAATAAAAATGCGTTTAGCATTAAACTTCCATTCGTTCGACCAAAATTGTTTCGACTCGGCACGCTCGACTAAAAACTAATGCCGACAACAATGACTGAAAAAATCGATGCCATAAAACCTTGGCCTAATTCTTTTCCACCGAACGACCTCACCAAATGAAAAGAATAGCCCTCGTGAAAGCCTACCATACGAAATGGATGGCTCTTTATTTATATCTTGAACTTGCCCTCGCCTCATTAAAATAATGTTATCTTTTGCATGCCATCTTTTTTTCTGATAAAGACCGCCGAGTGGGTTTCTGGGAAAATGTCAACACTTCACCATTAAACACCATTCCTTGACCGAAGCCACTGATCAAAACCTGCCATCAAATGCCTGTTATCTCAAATCAAATCAGTGTTGAATTAATGGCCAAGTGGCCAACTGAACATCACCTTTTGGCTATATAAAAAAAATCATAATGACGTGTAG